CCTATCTCTACAAAACATTTCTAAAACAAAATTTAGAAAATTAGCCAGGTGTGGTGGTGCATGCCTGTAGTCCCAGCTACTCAAGAGGCTGAAGCAGGCAGACTGATTATGTCCAGAAGGTCAAGGCTGCAGTGAGCCGTGACCATGCCACTGCACTCCAGCTTGAGCAACAGAGCAAAACCGTCTCAAAAAAAACAAAACAAAACAAAAAACAGAGTTGCCTAAAGAAAGCATGGTGAGCCATAACAAATCAGGAAAGAACTAACGATTTAGGGCTGTTTGCATACTTGCATGATTATAACGGCTGGTTACCAGCCATCGATTCATGTTATCGTTGTCTCCGGAACTAGACTGCAAGCCCCTGAAGTGCAGGGGCCATGGATGTCTCTTCAACTGTGCCCTCTTGGTCCCTGGTGCTCAATTCAAGAGAGAGTTTAATAAATAACCAATAAGTCTAGAAGTATCAGATCTGTCATGGGAAATACGAAGGGCTATTATGTGAAGAAGAAACAGACTTAATTCAGGTTGCTTCAGGAAGTATAACTAAGGTCAATAGGTGAAAGGGAGGGAGCGGACTGGAGTAATCTAAAAACATTTCTGGCAACCAAGACCTGTCCAGGGACAGATGCCTGCAGTTTGACACTGATGATCAGAATGTAGCAGACAAAAGGAAAGATGTTGGACTACTGGGCCCCTAACAACTCCTCCAAAGCTCAAATTTTATTAGTCTACATTAGGATACATTTGTTTACTCTTTCATACATTCTACAGTTTCCATTAGTTACACAAGTCACTTAGTCACTTAGTAAGCAACAGAGGACACCACATTGTGTTCTACAAACTCCCTGTGCCCTCAAAGATCTAGAGAAGAGTAAATGCACAAGAGTGAATCTAAGCAAGCAGGAAGGTGATATATACAACAGGAAGCAGCAAGCAGTGAGGAAACTTCCAGGCAGGAAACAAGACAGAAGTTAACAAAGGTATTATGGAAGAAATGTCACCATTTGAGCACACCTGAGCTAGAACTTTAGGATCCATGAGGGGAGGTGGGAGGAGGGCTGTCATAAGAATGTGGGGAGGAAAATCACTGTGTGGCAGTAATGGTCTGGGCATAAAGGGGGCAGAAAAGCCCTGGGGAGGTGAAGAACAAGCGAGAAACAAGCAGTAAATGCCAGCATTTTAGAGGTCACTTAGTCAAACACTTATACCCATACTTTGTCGATGATGCCCCACTGGCAATGGCTAAAACAGTTAGTTCATTTTTTTTTTTTTTTTTTTTGAGACAGAGTCTCGCTCTGTCGCCCAGGCTGGAGTGCAGTGGCCGGATCTCAGCTCACTGCAAGCTCCGCCTCCCGGGTCTACGCCATTCTCCTGCCTCAGCCTCCCGAGTAGCTGGGACTACAGGCGCCCGCCACCTCACCCGGCTAGTTTTTTGTATTTTTTTAGTAGAGACGGGGTTTCACCGTATTAGCCAGGCTGGTCTCGATCTCCTGACCTTGTGATCCGCCCGTCTCGGCCTCCCAAAGTGCTGGGATTACAGGCTTGAGCCACCGCGCCCGGCCAGTTAGTTCATATTTTAAAATTATATCTTACAAACCAAAAACTATATCATCAATGATTTCTACTTCGCTTAGTTTTTGTTTTTAAGACTAACAGATCCTTCCCTTGTTTTGTTTTTGTTTTTAGACAGGGTCTCACTGAGTTACCGAAACTGTCAGTTTTTTGCCGGGCACGGTGGCTCAAGCCTGTAATCCCAGCACTTTGGGAGGCCAAGATGGGCGGATCACAAGGTCAGGAGATTGAGACCATCCTGGCTAACACGGTGAAACCCCGTCTCTACTAAAAAATACAAAAAAACCAGCCGGGCGAGATAGCGGGCGCCTGTAGTCCCAGCTACTGGGGAGGCTGAGGCAGGAGAATGGCGTAAACCCAGGAGTCGGAGCTTGCACTGAGCTGAGATCCGGCCACTGCACTCCAGCCTGGGCAAAAGAGCAAGACTCTGTCTCAAAAAAAAAAAAAAGAAAAAAAAAAAGAAACTGTCAGTTTTGGTAACTACAGTTTGGTAACTACAACCTACTTTGTCATCCAGGTTATAGTGCAGTGGCATGATTTCGGCTCACTGTAGCCTCAGCCTCCCAGACTCAGGCAATCCTCCCACCTCATCCCCCGCTCCCTCCGAGTAGCTGGGACTACAGGTGCACACCACCATCCCCAGCTAATTTTTGTATTTTTTGCAGACAGACAGGGTTTCACCATGTTGCCCAGGGTGGTCTCAAACTCCATGCGACCCGCCTGCCTTGGCCTCCCAAAATGCTAGCATTACAGATGTAAGCCACTGCACCCAGCCTCTTTTCTTGTTTTCTAGGAAATATTTTAAATGTTCTGTTTCTAAACATTTAAGTTTTACTTCTGTCTACTGTTTCCACTATTTGACAACTAGATGTAGTTACCAAAACTGACAGTTTCAGTAACTCAGTTGAACCTAATATTTGTAATCACTTAAATGTTTCTATTTACCAATAGCACTACAAAATAAAAAAAATTATAATCTAAAAATTATTAAGTAGAAGATTATTAAGAATAGACGGGTCTCAAACAGTAAATTTAAGTCTCAGGCCCAAGAAGCCATCTCACTCAACTTATAAATCATGACACTAAGCTACTTAAGAAAATAAACAAGACTGAAGCAAAAAATCTCAATCTAAAACCAGTAAACACGGGCCCAGCATGACTGCTCACGCCTGTAATCCCAACACTTTGGGAGGCCAAGGCAGGCAGATCACCGGAGGTCAGGAGTTCAAGACCAGCCTGGCCAACGTGGTGAAACCTGTCTCTACTAAAAACACAAAAATTAGCTGGGCATGGTTGTGGGTGCCTGTAATCCCAGCTACTCAGGAGGCTGAGGAAGGAGAATCGCTTGAACCCGGGAGGTGGAGGTTGCAGTGAGCTGAGATTGCACCATTGCACTTCAGCCTGAGCAACAAGAGCAAAACTCTGTTTCAAAAACAAAAATAAATAATAAATAAAACCAGTAAACAAAATATAACACACTTAAATGACAAACTTAATGTTCTTCTGGCCAATCATTTCTCAACATCCCTGTCAAACTATTTTAAGCGTCTGAAATCTTGCTCTATAAAAAGCAAGTTCCCATCATCTGAACTACACTTAAAGAGATCTATCCCACTAGTTACTGAAGCATAATACACCAGGCTTGAGAGTTTCACTTGCTATCAATTAAAAAAAAAAATGCTTACCTCTTTTACATAAATAAAGTTTAATCTGTAGGTTAATTCAAAAGCCTGACATACTAGGAGATCTGGGTTTTCCGTTCTAACACAACTTTATGGTGCAAACTTAGCAAAAGCCTTTTCTGTATTTGCCAATTCAGTTATAACACACACATACAATATTTGATACCTCCACCACCAACAAAGTCTTTTCTAAGGAGTTCTGACTTTGGTTAACCTTACTTGGGAGAATTAAAAGCTATGGCTGAAAACTCCTTCATAAAAACTAAAACTTTAGAAGTCTAAAATGGTGTTACAATCTAGCCCATAATAAACAATGAATACCATCTAGCCCATAATAAACAATGAATTATAGAAACTGAGATTTGAGTAACAACTGCTAAAAAGGTGTATTACACAATTTAACAAGATAACCAAATCATCAAAATTTAAATCTTTCTTAACAAAGGTAAAAAATAAATAATATTCAGTACTCTGAGGCATTGTGCTACCTTTTATCTATTTGGTCTCTACATCAATGTTGCTATTCTCCCACTCCCTTGATGAGCAAACAGAGTCAATGTCCAGGACCCCTCATATCGAGACATCAGTTAACGTCGTAAATGATCATAGCAATAAAAACAATTTCTAATGCCAGAATTGAAAACGGACTGTGCCACCCAAATAGGGTCCAAGGTACGTGACGGCATGAAACTATTTCTCGCTTCTGATTCTTCTGCATCACTGTCTCCCAAAGGACTAGAGAATCTGAAGCTCTCATTGCCACATCTACAAATTAAAGTATCATGTTTAAAGAGCTCACAGTTTCTACGAATGGTCAGTATTTAATGAAAGCACCTCACTACACAGAAACTCACCCAGCTGCAAACTCATCACAGCGTGCTTTCAGACTCCACATTAATTTTTTTTAATTTTAGAAACAACTATTTTAAAAATATTATGTAATAATTTAAACTCTGGAAAGCCCCATACTCATCCCAGCAGCTCGGAAAATGGAAAGCAAAATTCGATTAGCTCCATTGTATCTAGCCAGGCTAATGTGCAAGATCACACACTCATCTTCGTCAGAGCGTCTCTGCCAATACCAAAGAACAACAAAGGCAAGTTGAGAAGTCTGCACAGGCTTAACTCAGCACTTGTTCGCTTTCCCAGCTTCAGAAAGAAGCTCTTCGAAGGCCCCGGGGACCAAGGGGACCTTGTGCATCCCATCAAGCCAGCCGCTCTGCTCGGCGCCGCTCGCGCAGCTTTTGTCTGGCCCGGTTGGGAGCCCGGGCCGCCCGCCTCCCGGCACCCCTTCTCTCTGGATCTTTCTCCACACCCATCACTCGCCGATGACTAGTTGTTGTGGGTTTCTCTCCCTCGCCCCCTCCCTTCCTTTCAAACGCGCCCCGGGCTCGCTGGCTTCTCCCACCCAGCCCGGGAGACTCGGTTTAGGAAGGGGGCCCGGGTGGGGTCTGGAAAAGGGAAACAGAGAGGTGCACACAAAGCCGACTGACCCCACGGCCGATCCCCTCCCTCTGCAAAGCAGCCTGGGTTCAGCGACCTACTGGTTGGATAAACAACCCTCGCATCCCGCTCCTCGCCAGGCTCCCACCTCAGAGCCGCCCCATCCCCCCAAAGTGCACCCAAGAGCCGATGACAGCGCTGGACATCGCCCCCACCCAGACCCGGCGCCCGCCACTGCGCGGGAGGGGCCAGGGCCGCGGGAGGGCTCGGGTCTGACCCTCCACCCCCTGACCGGGTACTTACAGCCCTGTTTTTCGTTACTGTTGCCGCTGCGGACCAGAGAGCCGCCGCCTTCTCCTCCACCCCAATGAGGTTAAGCGCTTGGTGCGGGGATTAAAAAAAAAAAAAAAAGGAAAAAAAAAAAAAAAGACCGAGAGCGAGAGAGACGCCGAGGGCGCCTGCGCAGTGCGGTCCCCCTTTTTCTTCTTACCGCCACCGACCCGGCTGCACCATAGAGAGCGTAAACCGATACCAGAGAGGCGGTTGCCTCTCTATGGTAACGCCCCGCGCACGCGCCGGCCTGGCCGTGTTAGGCTTCGCGGGCGTAAAGTCCCCGGGAGCTTTGCCCCTCACGGAGAACGTTGGTTGACCCTGATGGGTACCCGTAGGGTAAAGGTTTTGGGGGTTTTTTTGTTTTTTTGTTTTTTTGTTTTTTTCAGGAAAGGGTGCCCCCAGTGTAGTTAGGCCCCTTGGAAAGTTGCGACAAAACTCGAGTTACACAAGGAAGGTCGGAACGGAACTAAGTGGCCACAGCAACAATGCACCAGCAAGCAGGGAGCGTGATAGGAAGAGCTAAAGAGAAGTCGGGAAACCCTGGGTAAAAGTCGTCCAAGTGGAACTTCCTTTGGTCTGGGGTCTGATACTCGAAGGAAAGGGTCTTTCACTTCTGGGTTGGTACGGCCGCCTACAAGGCGACTGCAATGAAGGAAATTGTGCCCTGCGACTTCCCGTAACAGAGCTGTGCGTCCACTCTCCCTTTTCCGAGCAGGCGCGGACGCTTGTGCCGGAAGTAAACTTTGTAACGGTTCTTTACCTTTTGGGGAGGAGAGACAGCCCTGAGAAGGCTTCGGAGAGCCTTGAGTCGGCCTGCGAGCAGGGTTTCTTACTTGAGCGCCTCCACAAATAAACGCTCCTTCGCTCCTCCGTCGCGTGCGTTTCCCTGGGATAATAAGTAGGAAAGTGGTGGCTTTTATTTTTTTGAGACAGGATCTCACCGCCGTCGTCCAGGCTGGATGGAGTGCATTGGGCGCGATCACGGCTCACTGCAGGCTCGACCTCCCAGGCTCACGTGATCCTCCTGCCTTAGCCTCCCGAGTAGCTGGAATTACAGGCGCGCACCACTACTCCTAAGTACTTTTTGTGTTTTTTTGTAGAGATGGGTTTCACCATGTTTCCCAGCCTTGTCTCAAACTCCTGACCTCAAGTGACCCGCCTGGTTGGGTCTTCGAAAGTGCTGGGACTGCAGGAGTGAGCCACCACATCCGGCCCGGAAAGTGTTTTGGAGGGTAGAAAACTGCAAATTATAGTGCTGCTTTCAAGGATCCCGAAGGACCCACAGTTTTGCCGCATCAGGCTCCTATGCGCGCCGGTAATTTGATGTGTTGAGATGCACTGCCTAGTGCATCGTTTTTACTGGAGGAGATTGTGTGCGGAGCTCCTCGCTAGTATCATGTGTATGTGTTGGGATGGGAGAGAAGTGCAGGAGAACTGTGAGAGAACGCCCCCTGATCCTCAGGGTCTTAAGAGGTATGGTCGGAGAGGCTAAGCTAAAGCATGAAAGCCATGTGTAGGCCCTTCTGTGTAGTGTAGAAAAGGGAGAGGTCTGTAGTTTCAAAGAGTAGGGATGACATGGAGGATGCGACTCCTGGTTGGATCTATAAAGTAATGTCTTTGGGACGAAAGCACATGCAACCTTTTGAAAATGGATGGGTGATAATGAAAGACCATTCCAGAGAAGAAACACCGTGGTGCAAAGGCTCAAGAGGCATACTGGAAGTACAATGAAGAGATCAGTCTAACTGAAATGGGAAAAATAGAAACGAGAGAAAAATAAAAAGTAAGATTTCATGAGAAAGGTGAAATAGATTTTTAAATTTTTTTATCGACACAACAAACTTTATCATCTTAGCCATTTTTGAGTGAATAATTCGTTAGTATTAAGTACATTTACCTTGTGCGGCCAGTCCCCAGAATTCTTTTCATCTTGCAAAACAAAGCCCGCACCCATTAAACAATTTCTCATTCCTCATTTTCCAGCCAGCCTTGGTAACCACCATTCTAGTTCTGTCTGTATGAATTTGACTACTTTAGGTATCTCATTTAAGTGGTATCATACAGTATTTGTCTTTTTGTGATTGGCATATTTCACATAGCATAATCTCCTTGTGGTTTATCCATGTTGTAGCATGTGTCAGAATTTCCTTCCCTTTTAAGACTAAATAATATTTCATTGTATGTATATACCGTCTGTGTTATTTCCACATTTGGCTATTGTGAATAATACTGCTTTGAACATGAATGTACAAATAACTCTTCAAGATCCTTTTAGGCTGATACAGAGATAGTAAGTTATCGTGATTGTTCACTGTCAGTTACAGACCAAACTCCTTATTCGACTTGTGCTCCACTTCCCACCACTGCACTTGACTAGTCTTAAACAAAAAAAAGAAAAGCCCTGATTTTAATAGATTGTGGGGCCAGACACAGTGGCTCATGTCTATAATCCCAACACTTTGGGAGGCCGAGGCTGGTGGATCACTTGAGGTCAGGAGTTTGAGACCAGCCTGGCCAACATGATGAAACCCCGTCTCTACTAAAAATACAAAAATTAGCCGGATGTAGTGACACACACCTGTAAACCCAGCTACTCAGGAGGCTAAGGCAGGAGAATTGCTTGAACTCAGGAGGTGGACATTGCGGCAAACCAAAATCTTGCCACTGCACTTCAACCTGGGCGACAGCGAGACTCCGTCTCAAAAAGTAATAATATTAATAGAATGTGGGAGATTTGAAACCAAGTATAGAAATTCATACTTTACATTGTTTGAGGTCCTTGACTAGGCATAGTAACATGATGAACTGTTTTGAGTTTGTTTGGTTTTTTTCCGAGACCTAGTCTTCGTCTGTTGCCTAGGCTGGAGTGCAGTGGTGCGATCTCAGCTCACTGCAACCTCCGCGTCCTGGGTTCAAGCGATTCTCTTGCCTCAGTCTCCTGAGTAGCTGGGACTACAGGCACGCGCTACCAGGCCCAGCTAATTGTTATATTTTTAGAAGAGACGGGGTTTCACCATGTTGGCCAGGCTGGTCTCAAACTCCTGACCTCAAGTGATCCATCGCCTCGGCCTCCCAAAGTGTTGGGGTTTCACCATATTGGCCAGGATGGTCTCGATTTCTTGACCTCGTGATCCAGCCTCCCAAAGTGCTGGGATTACAGGCATGAGCCACCATGCCCGGCTAGAAAGATCTGTTTTAGCAAGCAACTCTGGCAGTGGAAGCTGAACACATACTCCCTTTCTATAAAGCATTTATGGAGGCCTCTAGATGTGCCAGGCATTGTACTACTGCTTTATTTAAATTATCGATGGGTCCATGAATCCATTAAAATAAATGCGAGCCAGTTGTTATTCACCCCAATTTACAGACAAGAAAATCAAGGTTCTGTGTTACAGATGGGCTGAGAAAAGGCTCACCAACCACATGTACACACAAGAGAATAGGAAAGAAAACTGCCACTGGAGCCAGGCCCCAGCAGGCACTGACTATTCATTGGTTTGGATGAGGATACTGAAAGAAAAAAATGACATGTAAGAGTGACTTTTCTCAGGAGAAAGAATAGGCTGACATCAGAGTCTTTGCATTATACTGTGCCCTTATACTTACATTAGTGGTAAGTAGAAGGGCACAGCACAACAGAAGTACATTTTGCAAGATTCCTAAAAGAACCCTGGGGTTTACTTTTAGGTTTATTACCTTTAACAAATATAAAATGCCAGGTAAATATATCTTTGTATGTAGTAGAGAAATTTATTAATAAGACATACCCTTCCCTACTCAACATTTCATCTTTCATTTTATATTCTCAAAAATACTGTGAGGTCTTTTAAGGAAATGATCTCCTTTTGGCGGATGAGGAAATTAAGGGCTAGAGAGGAAAAATTATCTTCTCAATGTCACATGCCTAATTGGTCTCAAAGCTTTGACTGGAACCTGAGCCTCCAGGATTGCTGCTATGCTTTTGTCTCCCTTAAAGAGATAGATAATGGTAGTCAGAGTGAGTGGACAATTTTTCTATTTAGTCAGTCTGATCTTCCTCAGGGATGCATATCCAGACTCCCATGGAGCTAGTGATAGTTAAACAAAGAGGCAGAGAATATAGTGCATTATAAATAGCATTCATACACTCAAAAATATTGCGTGCCAACCCTGTGCCAAACACTTAGCAAAGCAGGGAAAAATCCTGTCCTCATAGCAGAGACTAAAAATATTAATAAGTAAAATATATACTAAGACAGAATAAGTGTTGGCAGGAAAGAGTGAAGCAGTGAGAGGGGAACAGGGTGAGCCGAGAGAGGTTTTTGTTTATCCCAGAGGCGGAGGAGCCCCACTGAGAAGGCAAACTGTACAAAGATCTAAAGGAGGCAAAGGAACAAGAAATGTGCCTTGGGTGGACAGGGAACATTCCGGGTAGAATAACAAGTGTGGAAATCATTGAGGCAGAAAGATGCCTACTACATTGTAAGAACAGAAAGCAGTCTGACTACAGGAGGGTAAAAGTAGGAAATGAAGTCAGAGAGGTAAGAGGAATTCAAATTGGGTATGCACTTACAGGCCATTTTAAGGACTTCTTTGGCTTTTTCTGAGGGAGATGGGAAGCCATCGTTAGTAGAAAAGTAATGAAATCCTACTTACATATTTAAAGAATCATATTGACTTCTATTTTGACACTAGATTATTGAGGAGCAAGGGGGACCACTTAGGAAGCTATTGTAATACTCTAGGTGAGAGATAAGTGGCATAGAAAAGGTGCAAGCAGTGGAGGGATAAGGTATCTGGATATATTCAGGGTGGCACACAGAATTTGATGACAATTTATATAGGATGTGGGAAAATGAAGGGAGTCCAAGGTGACTACGATTTTTGGCCTGAGCATTTTGAAGAATGGAGTTGCCATTAAATGAAATGGGAAAGATGGAGGAGCAAGTTGGGGATGGGAAGAGATAAATTCCATTTGGGGCCAGGCGCGGTGGCTCATACCTGTAATCCCAGCACTTTGGGAGGCCAAGGCAGGCAGATCGCTTGAGCTCAGGAGTTCAAAACCAGCCTGGGTAACATGGTAAAACCCTGTCTCC